AAAAAAAAACAAGATTTTCCTATCTTCAGGCCTGAGGGCCTCCAAGACATGAAAATTGTTGTTTTCTTTGGTTTTTTGGTACCTCTTCAGGTTTTGGCAAAAAAGTTTTGGTTTTTTTTGTACCCCTTCAGGTTTGGCACGATTTTATTGCCAAAACCTGAGGAGGTACCAAAAAACACAAAAAATGCAAAAACCTGAAGAGGTACCAAAAAAACCAAAACAAACAAACATTTTCCTATCTTCAAGCCTGGGTGCCTCCAAGACATGAAAAGTTTTGGGTTTTTCCTTTTTTTAGTATCTCTTCAGGTTTTGGCAAAAAAGTTTTGGTGTTTTTGGTACCTCTTCAGGTTTTGGCACGATTTTATTGTTGTAGGTCTAGAATGCATGGTCAGACCCTCAAGTACACCAACAGCACATCAGAGCCTACTTCTTTTCCGATAGGGCTTCAGAACGATAAAGTGCGACCTCTTGAAAGTACAATTGCAAAACGTTCGACATTAGTTTCTTGTAGTCTGCCCCCACTAGGTGACCACGAGATCCAAATAATCTTCTTCACCGAGTAGTTTCTCACCATAGGTGCCCACTTGGAAAATTTTGCCATCGTAGCGCAAGACGTCATCTCCTTGGATATTTCTAAAATCGGAAACAATACCTTCTTATCACTTGGCTGTTTCTAACAAATTCAAATAAAGCTCCAAAACTGAAACTAAAAGGGTTCCTATATGGTGCAAGCAGCCGCTTCCACGCAGAAAAAAAATGAGGCCAAGATGTGGGGGCTGTGGGCATAGGCCTCTCCGCCTTTTGAAAATCTTCCATCATGCGAACCACATCACCAGGAATCTGATTAACGAATGGAGCCGACATGATCGCTCTGAATGAGCAAAGAAGGGAAAAGCAAAAGACGGAGCCGAAATCTACCACAGTCACTTATTTTATTTCCCTTACTCAACACACCCCTACTTTGAAGTACAAGTTCCCTAAAACCCTTAAGTCTCAATGTTACATAACATAACCCTTCAGTCGCCTGTGGCGCGCCATCATCTGCAGTGCCACACGGGCACTCTCCGGTTTAGGGTTTAGGGTTTAAGGTTTAGGATATGCGGGCTATCATCACATGGCCACTAACTTCACGCACATACCCAGATTGCAACTTATCAAAAGGGATTTGGGAACCTGAAACCTTAGTATCTTAACATGTTTACAATAAAGAGCAATGTCACCACGAAAAGTCCTTCTGGACAGCTACAACATGCAATTGCCGTCCTATCAACATAAATCTTATTCTACCCTATTATTCATATATTGACTCTCTCCTCTCTTTGACAGTCTGTGTTGTGCTTGGAGACAGATAATGTTATGACCTGTGAGCCATGCATTCTTGGGAAGTTGATGAAGACAAGATTTGCTGCTGTTGTGCTAATCCATTTTGCAACTCGGCGTGGTGACTGCGCAGCAGTAGTGTCAAACTGATGCCTGCAGGTGGGCTCCTAATCTTGCTCATGCAAGGCTCTGATCATGGTACTGGTGGCCTGCCACATGTTGCGAGAGCGAAACCAGAAAGTAAACTGAGCTGCCCTCACTTTGCGCATCAGAACATCACTGCCGGGAATGCGGGTGGTGTGCTTCAGATACTGTCGCAAATGCCCCCAGAAACGGTCGATGACTTGGGTGCCACTTTTAACTTTGAGACGGGATCCATCCGGCAAGTTCAGGTCGTAGACTTTGGTGTAGTGGGGTTTCACCCATGTCTCCTGCACATATGACATCATAATGTCCTACAACATGGTAAAAATAACTAGTCCCCATGAGCTTTAAAAGAACAGCACCTTGCCATTGATCTTGACTTTCTTCTTTTTGTGGACCACGTTGCAATGCAGAAGCTGCGGGAGCTTGAGCTTGTAAGCTCTCGCCCCGCCGCTGTGCAGAATAACCTTTCGATTGGCAAGCACCTTCTTTGCGATGGGAGCCCAATCGCGCTTAGTATTTGGACGTGGTCCTGGGATTGTGTAGGACATGGGGCTCTTTCCGACATAGGAGCGCCCTATCCACACAATGGCGTGCTCCAGGATGTGAGGCAGAATAGGCGAGATCACGTGGTTGAGGGCCCAAGGCGCAATGCTTTTGAAAGTAAGAGGCCAATCTTTGATAGTATTGGCTTGGGAACCTTGGTCAGCAAGGCACCGAAGAAACTCCTTGATGGTCCCCCTTTCCCACTTGTATAGTGGCGAGGCGGGGTCGTTCACCTGCTCCTCAGTCCAGGATGTGAACTGACCATCAGAGTTTTCCTCAGGCCCTTCTAGGCGGATGAAGTCAAAGCCCTTGCGAATGTCCTCTGTCTCTTTGGTGGGTTTGGAAGAGCTTCCTTGCGGGAATAGCTTCATGTAGCGGACCTGGAACCCACCTAACCCTTCCAGCATGTACTGGCAGGCACGAGAACCTTCACGAAAATGACTTTGCAGGTTATCTCGAGGGCTCTGCCATACACCGTGTGCAAGATGGTCTGGTGGTTGACCTTCGTGTTGCCTATAAACTTGATATGCTTCACGATGTGATAGGTTTCGTGGCCTTGCTCTAGGATGAAGAGTTGCATGTTGTACGGAGTGCGGTTGTTTCCCTTCATGCCCAATGGTGCAGGGAGATCTGCGTAACGCTGCTGGAGAAAAAGTTTCTCAATCTCCTTAAAATTGAATGTCCCTTTGTAATTCATGATGACATCTAAGAACTGTAGCTTTTTCTTCCCATTCTCGTGGATCTCATCCTTTGCTGGAAGATCACCAACTTGGACATTGCCTACGGGCTGATGAACGATGATAGGCTTTTCAAGCTGCACAATCTTGAGGCCCTCTGTGTTGCCGATGGCTTCATCGAAAGTCATCGCCCCGTCAGGTTGGACTCGTCCATTGACTGTGCAAGGGAGATGGGACGTTGAGGAGGATGGCTCGCCATGACTTCCAAATGCGAGACAGTGCGACACCAATACTGATACTTGAGAATAATGGCTATAGTGACAGAATGCGATTGGTTTGCTGGAAGACTCTGCAAAGACTTGCATTGGTACGACACAGGAGGCTTTTTTTAACGTGGGTCAGATAGCAGATGTTGCGATGAGGACACAGACCTCAGACGAAACTCTCCAGGTGGATCTTGGGGGGGGGGTGGGGGGGAAGGGGGAGGGGCGAGCACATATATATGCATATATATATATGTATATATATATATCTTAGGGTTAAGGGTTTGGGGCGTATATGCCCAACCATAACAATGCCAAGGTAGCTGTGTGAAGTATTTGGGTCACTCGCAATAAGGGTCCCGACCATAGTCCCTAGAAATCCGGTATGCAATCCTTCCTTCAGGTTCGATGACTAGCTATAACGGCCGTTCAGGCACCTGAATCCCAAATATATGTAGAATGATTGCCTTTGTGGCTCTTTTCAAGGGGTTTGAGCAATTTTTGCATGGTCTTGAGGTGCAAGTTTGACAGGTATGGCTATATCTCACTGATCTTATCTGGGTAGAGTTCACCCTACTCTCGTGAATCCATGAACTAAGAGATCCAGGTTAAGGGTCTAGGACGAATATGAGTGGAGGGAGCACAACAGTAGGTGGAGGATTTTGAATTTGTCAATCTGCGGGTACCCCTGAGACCCTGAGCATAGATAAGATTGATACAGGAAATACAAAGGTCTTCACTGGGGTTGAAAGGGAAATTGTGTTCAGTAATTCCCAACTCCTGTAGCAACTAGGATGAAGGATCAGAATAAACGTGGGGCCCTAAATACTTACCAATATCATTTTAAGGTCTGCTTTAGGTTACCTACACTTGGTAACCATCCCAATCACCACAGTTTCCATGCAATTTTCCGGTGTCTTCTCCATTTGATTCGCCAGTATAATAATAGTCACTCCCCCACGCTCCCCAAGCGTTAGACAAAATCAGGCCCTAAACCCTAAACCCTTCTCCATCAAGGTTTGGATTCTGACTCCTGTGAGAAATGGACGCTAAGAAGAGGTCCTTGGCGCCGGATTTTGCTACAAGAGCCTGATAACATGCTTTGGGGTTTAAGGTCGTGCTACAACATGTCGAGACCATAATCTACGGTTTGGGGTCGTGTCACAAGATTTTGATACAACTTTCCAGGGTTTAGGGACTCATGCGCTCTCAAAACACATCCATTTGAACCTAACCTTGGGCGAGGTGACGTGGAAGCCTGAACAATGACCAATATAGTTTTGAGTTTAGGGCTTAGGGGTCAACATAATGTTGAGGTCCGTATACCCTAGATCCTAAACCCTAAACCCTAAAACCTGAACCCTAAACCCTAAACCTGTGACGTCGATGTCGAGCCAAAGGGCCATAATTTTGGTAAGTAGTCAAGCCTCTACGTCATCTTTAGGGTTTAGGGCTGTGAAAGCACTCGTCCCTCATGCCTCCCGCTCAGGTGTCGATCCGCAGCGGACCTTTATGCCCAAGCTGGCGTGGCAAAGAGCCGCATTGCATGCTCCAGGCGGGGCAGGGTTGCTTTAAGATTGGTAGCGGAGCGTGGTCATACCGCGCTCCGACTACCTTAGGTTAGGTAGTTGTGTAGGCTAGGTAGAGCCATGGCAAGTGATGAGAGAGAAAAGGGCGTCAAGAGATTCGATGGAAATGAAGAAGACAGTGGTCGGCAACTTCGCCGATGGAAGGCGTGGACACAGGCCAAGATGGCCACGATGAAGGATTTGAATGACAAGCAGAAAGGGCCATGGCTCTTCACATTGCTTGATGGCAAAGCTTTGGATGCGGTCGAGCATCTTACACTGGAAGACCTGTCCAAAGAGGACGGTGCAGACCGAGTACTCAAGATACTCGGCGATCGCTTCCCCGAGAAAGAGAAGCACGACCAGATGGGAGAAGCCTTGGGGGAAGTCTTTGGACTCGCTGCCAAGGAGTCAGAGACGGCTCAGCAGTGGACTGCCAGGGTTCGAGAGGTTTTCGACAAGTGTCGCCGCAAGGCTGAGGTGGCATTTCCGTCACAAGCCCAAGGCTGGATTATGCTGAACTGTGCGGGACTCACGGAAGAACAGAAGGCGATAGTCAAGGCGAAGGCACAAGGAAGTCTGGATGTGGACCAGATCTCAGCTGCGTTCAGGTCTTGCTTTCCGCTCTACAAGGCTGGGAGCAAGGCAAGACGTGCCGTCTCCACCTTGGTCGTGGAACCCGAGCTGGAGGAAGATCAGGTCGACGCGGCAGCCGAGTTCGACGACGTGGAGGCTTTCTCGCAGATCACCAGCTAGCTGGAGACACTGAAGTTCTCAACGAGGACGAAGCTGCGGAGGCCCTAGCTGTGACATGGCGGGAGCGACGCCAGGACATCAATCGTCTTCAACGCCAACGTCGATTCAATGACGCTTCGGGAACGAAGCAGTCATTCAGGGTCGAGATTGAGGCCCTCAAGAGGAGAACCAGATGCCGCAAATGCGGCAAGGTGGGACATTGGGCACGCGAGCGCCGGTCGACTACCAACAACCGCACTGCGTCCACCTCGTCCTCCACCGCGACTCCTTCGTCTGACGTGCACTTCGTGGAGCACGGCGACGTCAAGCAGGAGCACGAAGTCTCCCTGGCGCAGGTTTCCGAGAACGACCCCCTCTTCAACTTCGACGTGACGTTCGTTGGAGCGGCTGAGTGCTGGAACGCGGAGATCCAGCCAGAAGTCTTGGCCTCTGGACTTGTGTCCTCTCCGGGCTTTGGGGTTATCGACTCGGGATGCGGCAGGACCTTGATCGGCAGGTCTACTCTGGACATGTTTAAGCAGAAGCTCCGAAGTTTCATGACGAAGCCCGTGGAGGAGTATGCCACAGTGAACATGTTCAGGTACGGCAATGGTGCCACAGAGACTTCAACCGTAGCTGCTCTGTTACCAGTGGCCATTGGCGGCCTTTCGGCGTCATCGACGCGGCAGTGATCGAGGGACAGGCTCCTTTGCTGCTTGGACGTCCTACCCTGGAGAAGCTGAAGGTGCAGCTGAATTTCCAGGAGAAGACGCTTCAGTTGCTCGATCTGCCCGCGCCCTTGCCTATGAAGACTAATAGTGCCGGACAGTTGCTGTTGGACGTGATGGCCTTTCCAGTGCAAAGCCCAGGTGCGAGGGATATAGGGATAGGTGTCCCCAAGGGTTCCTCTAATACAGCCCCCAAAAGTTTCCAGGGTGTGCCTGAAAAACCGGTTAGTCTTAAGGGTTCCCCTAGCATAGACCCCAAGGGTTCCCAGGGTTTGCCTGAAAGCCTGTCCCAGCATGTGCAAGAACAGCTGGACAAAGCTGTCGCCAAAGCAGTGTGGGAAACAATTCCCGAACCAACACAAGCCAAGCCCAAAATCTCCAAGAAACAAATCAGATGTCTGCTTGCACAGGTGAAATCTCTGGAACACCAGAGGGACAGTCGCACGGCAGTGGCCGAGCTCTTTTCACCACCTCGGTTGGCAGCCGAGGCACGCAAGCAGGGCGCCACAGGATTGTCCTTTGACGTAGCCCAGGGTGTTGACCTGCTAAACAAGCAAACTCAAATCCAAGTGGATGCACTATTGGATGAAGCCAAGCCGTATCTCCTTACAGCTTGCCCTCCATGTACTTACCACGGGGGATGGGATAACCTAAACCGCTGTTTCAGGACCCCTTTGCAGCAGGCCAGACTCACCCGTGACTCGCCCCAACAGGTGCGCTTCTGCATTCGCCAGATTCACAAACAACTTAAGCGGGGAGGGCATTTCCTTTTAGAGCATCCCCTTGGGAGCAGATTGTGGAAAGATCCCGAAATCATGTCTCTCAAGCAGAAATATGGGTTTCATAAGGTAGACATGTGCGCCTATGGCCTTAAATGTCCCAAGACAGGGTTGCCCATGCAAAAGCAGACAGGACTCGTATCATCACACCCAGGGATCAAGCAAGCCATTAAGCAGTGCCCAGGGCGCCCCAAACATCAGCCTATAGAGGGTGAGTGTGGTTTTGGGGTGTGTCGGAGTACGTGGGCAAGTAGGTACACCCCCCAGTTTGTCAAGACTTTATGGAAACACCTAGGTCCCACAGCTTCGGATATCAACGTAATCCCTGGTAGTCCCCTAGACTGGAGCGCGCTCCAGTGTGAGTGCCTTGCAGGCGAGGATGGTGCGCCTGAGAAGGTAGATCCCGAAGCTGGGGTTCCAAATGCGGTTCCCCCTGCAGACCAGCCGCAGGCAGATGCAGCGCAAATTGCTAGGATAGACCAAGCCCTCAAACGTCTTCACACTAACCTGGGCCATCCTTCCCTTAAAGACCTTATCCGGATCCTTAAGCATAGTCGTGCATCTGACCTGGCCGTACAGAGAGCAGCTGCCTTGCGTTGCTCCGTGTGCGCCAATCAGCAGAGACCAGCCGCTCCTCTTCCATCCAATGCTTCGGTAGTTCGGGATTTTAATGAGGTGGTAGGTCTTGACATAAAGTACCTTCCAGGGTGGCAGCCCCAGCAAAAGATCCCCTGTGTCAACTGTGTTGATATGGCAACTTCCCTTCAAATCATGACCCCCATCTTTAAGAGAGAAACGGGGGAGATCATAGTGGACTCTTTCAGGGACAGATGGATAGCATGGGCAGGCCCCCCTCAAAAACTCGTACTGGATCCTTCGCAGCCTAATCTGTCGGCATCCTTTGGGGAGTTTTGTAACAACAATGGGGTTGATGTCCAACAGACTGCGGCAGAAGCTCCCTGGCAAATTGGGAAGGTAGAAAGACATGGAGCATGGTTTCAGCGCATTTTAGCAAGGGTAATAGATGAGATGCAGCCTAAAGATGAAAGGGAATGGCTTTCGTGTGTGTTTCAGGCTCAGTCGGCGAAAAACACCCTTTTGACAGAAGCCGGGGC